TACTGTCTTTTGTGTGTGTGTGTGTGTGTGTGTGTGTGTGTGTGTGTGTGTGTGTTAAAGGGATAGTTCACCTAAAAATGAAAATTCTGTCATCATTTACTCATGTTGTTCCAGACCTGTATGACTCTCGTTCTTTTGTTGAACACAAAGATATTTCGAAGAATTTTTCAGTGGTTTAGTTCATATAACGAATGAATGACAGTGGGGTCCAAAAATTAGTGTTATTTTAGTATCACTGAGATTTTTCAAAATTTTATTTCAGTTTTAGTTACATTTTTAAACTAAAATGTGAGCTATTGCCTTGGCAACCAATTTGATTCTATTCTAAAATGTTATTAGATTTTTTTTATGGTTTAATTATTTTTTTTAGTTTTAGTTAACTATAAAAACCCTGCCAAAAACAACGTTGAAACATTTTTCAAAATATCTTCTTTGGTGTTCCACAAAAGAAAGAAAGTCAACTACACTCTAAAAAATGCTGGGTTGTTTCAACCCAATTTTGGGTCAAATTTGACCAATATAACAAAGAGTGAAAAATTTAAGGGGGTCTGAATACTTTCCGTACCCACTGTATATTATTTTTTTCCCCCCACAATTTGCTACAATAGCAAAAGAAAACATTTCACAATAGCGTTTCCATGACTTTCCAAAAGAGAAAAAAAATATAGATTGATTATGGAAGTCCGAACAGAGAACGATGTCTTAAAGGGGTCATATGATGCGATTTAAATTTTTCCTTTCTCTTTGGAGTGTTACAAGCTCTTGGTGCATAAAGAAGATCTGTAAAGTTGCAAAGACTAAAGTCTCTAATCCAACAGAGAGATATTCTTTATAAAAGTTAAGAGTCAGCCACACCTACCTAAAACGGCTCGTTCTAACACGCCCCCACATGTCTACATCACTATGTGGGAAGATTTGTATAACTGCGCCCACGCAAAGTTCACGCAAAGAAAGAAGTTGTAACTTTTATTCTCACTGTAGTACTGTTGTTGCCGCCGCCGCCATGTCGTGAAGGCGCTGTGTGTTTCGTTGTGAAAGCGAAACTACTTTGTTTGGCCTTCCAAAAGAGGACTATATCGCTTTGTCATGCCTGGAGCTGATCCGTGCTGGTCGCTGAGGAAATACTTCAATTTTGCTCTGTGGATCGCCGGATCGGATTTAACCGTGGACGAAGCGGAGTCCATCCCGGGGTTGTCACATGTGGTTGCCGCAGGCATCACAATATGGTAAGGGATGTAACATTTCCGTCACACGCTTGAGGTATTCGGCCAATCATAACGCATTGGATAGCTGGCCAATCAGAGCACACCTTGCTTTTTCAGACCGATGAGCTTTGTAAAAATCGATGCGTTTCAGAAAGGTGGGGCATAGAGGAGAAACAATAATGTAGAGTATGTGGAAAATAATGTGTTTTTTTAACCTTAAACCACATAAACACATATCATTACACCAGATACACAAAATAAAGTTCTTTTTAGCAGCATCATATGACCCCTTTAATTTACCGGCAGTATTCCAGCCATTGTATTAGAAACACCCTTGCAACTAGTTTTTTGTAATTTGATGCCAATATATATGTAATTTGCCAATATACTATGTAATTTGATGGTAATATAACATTGTTATAAATGTACATTACATTTGTGCCCGAAGCGTGAAACAAGTAAGCGTTATACGGAGCCACTAAAATGTTAGCCGCTTGCTAGCGGTAATGTTAGCCTGTTGCATTACAGTACATGAAAGTTCACTTACCACATACACAGAGTAAGGAGAAATGTCTGGTAGGACGATGACGAATGATTTGCAGATCCTGAGCACCAATGACAAACATCTAATCTTGTCAAATGTGTGGTAAGTACTGCCGCTCCATAGTATAGAGTCCTTGTGATTGCAGTCTCAAAAGTGAAAGTGAAAGTAAAATGAGAGCGCACAATCGAAAGTGATTTCAATTGCCTGAATCTCAGAACATTGAGAAAGACCAGTGTTGGCCAAGCTACTCAAAAATTTTGCTAGCTGATTACCATATTAATATATCATATGAAAGGATAAGTAGATAAACTAGTAACGTCACTATTTGCAGTGCAAATTTTAGCTGTGTTAGCTGTGAAAAATTGCAAAGTAGGCTGTAGAAAGTATAGTTCTTTTTACAGAGCTAATGGCATGGCGCTTTCAGTTATTCCATACTTTAGTCATTAAAGATGTCATTAGAGAATTTGTGCGCTAATATAATGTATGTATGGCTTTCTGTTGTTGCATTATTAATAGTGGGAAAAAGTTTCTCACCTTTCAGAAATGCACTTGTATGAAAACCTGTGCATTAAAAAAGGTGAAGGAGGGGGTCTGGCAACAAAATGCTTCCTTTCTCTCTTCAGGCATCCATCTTTCCATCCATCTAAAAGCATGTTTAGTTTGTAGAGAATGAGTAAGATGCTCTTAGGCCAGTGGGTAGAGAAGAGAGAGACCACTCTCCACATGGCTTGTGGGCCTCAGGTCACATGGGAACTGCTGATTTGAGCACTGAAAGCAAAGATATGGGTCGTAATGTGTGTTTTTAACTTCATTTGATCTTCTGCATTAGCATATTAACGAAGCAAGTGCTTCAAGTCGGGACTGCAGAGCTTTGTGGGTCAAAGCAGTCTCGCCCGCACAATTAGACTCCTCTTAGATTTTACGACAGATTTACACATACTACTTAGACCCAAACCTGATTTTGTTAAACTGAGATAGATAATATTATCTTAACGAGTTTGTGTTCTGCATTTAAATGAATAGTATTCAAAAGTAATTACTTGAGGCAAATCCAGTGTTCTGTGGTCATTTCCATTTCTCTTTTTCTAGTGCTAAATTTATTTTTTATCTTCTCAGTGAAATTAGCTGCATTTGGAAATGTTGTGTTTAGTGGATTAAACAGAGGGTTTAAGCAATTTTGCTAAATTAAAATGTTACTAACACATTAAATAGGAGCTGCCTTTAAAAATAATTTTTACATGTAGCATAGTATAATTATACATAATATATATATTTTGTGGTCACTAAGTTTTGAAAATATTTTTGAAAGAAGTCTCTTCAGAAATTATTTTAATATGCTGATTTGGAGCTCAAGTAACAGTTCTTATTTCTATCAATGTTGAAAACGGTTGTGCTGCTTAATATTGTTGTGGAAAATATGATACATTTGATACAAAGATCAAAAGAACAGCATCTATGTATTATTATATATTATTATTTTGTTATGGATAAGAAATGTGTCATCTGTTCATCTGTTTTTATCGTCTCATCTATTTTATTTCAAGTCTTAAACACCAATATAGTTTCTAAATCGTTCACAAATCTTGCTTTTTGCCAGAGTAATTGGAAGAGGAGCACCAGACTTAAGGTCAATCTTCTGAACTTGGGTTTAAATTTGTTGCATTTTGCTGAACCGGATCAGAGGGCGAAGGCTCAGACTGTTTGCCTTTGATTTTCCAAAAAGTGAATTCATGATCAAAAGCTTGGCTTGATCAGACGTCTATGTTCATTTATTCCTCATGAAAACCCCAAACAGGAGCTGATGAGATCCTAACTAACCTCTGCACTTTTTTGGCCTTATAATTTAAACCATCGTTAATGAATGGTGGACCTTGTTAGCCTCTTCCTACAGTGACAGGAGAGATAAACAGCTCTGTTTTATCTCTTCCCCTAATGGCTTACTTTACTTCATACACAAATCCTGTGTTCAGCCCAGCTACACTTGTTAGTATTTTTCTTAACAATGGAGGTTTGTGTATCTCAGTACATGAAAGGCTCACTGACATCTCACCACATAGTGTGCTCTTCCCAGAATAAATAAAGAGTGAACAAAGAAGAAAAGAAAATAGAAAATGTCACTTTTATCAGCGCTGTTGTGATTGTCTATAAACTTTGCCAAGATGCCACTTTCCACGGACATGTCATCGCAGAATGATCAAAGAAGAAATGAGGAACTCAAGTGCCTATTGACTAATTGTAGTCAAAAATGTGACTATGTATGCATTTGTGTACTGGGGGCCACTTTTGATGGTTAGTGTTTGTATTTTCTCATTATTGTGCTCACACCGATCCTCTGGGGTCTGGGTAAATGAAACTCATACTGTAAATAATTAATGTTGTACATTTAAGTGGTGTGAATTCCTCTCTCACTGACTGATTCTGTAATCTATACCATTGCGTATAGGGACATTGCAGAGTAAGAAGGATTGCATCAGCTTGTCTGCATTGTGTGTCACAGAGTGCAGTCTCAAATACTGGGCATTAAAATAGGGAAAGTTTGACAGCTACTTTGTCAGATCCATTTATAAGCCACAAACAAAATTATGTTCATGTTTTACAGTGAGATGAGGTACTTAAAATTATGTAAATGTGACAGTGACATGCCTATTAATCTCATCTAGAAGGGCTTAAAGGAATAGTTTACCCAATAATGAAAATTTGCTGAAAATTTACTGACCCTCGGGCCATCCAAGATGTAGATGAGTTTGTTTCTTCATCGGGATTTGGAGAAATTTAGCATTACATCACTTGCTCACCAATGGATCTTGTTTAGTGAATGGGTGCCGTCAGAATGTGAGCCCAAACAGCTTATAAAAACATCATAATAATCCACAAGTAGTCAACATGACTCCAGTCCATCAATTATTGTCTTGTGAAGCACAAAGCTGTGCATTTGTAATAAATAATCCATCAAGCACTTTAACTCACATTCTGACGGCTCCCATTCACTGCAGAGGATCTATGGGTGAGCATATGTAAAGCTAAATTTCTCCAAATCTGTTCCGAAAAAGAAACAAACTCATCTACATCTTGAATTTCCTAAAGGTGAGTACATTTTCAGAAAATTATCATTTTTTTGTCTGAACTATTATTTAGGACCACAGTGTTCTTATGCCCTACAGAGACAGTTTCTGGGGAGATGTGCATCCTGCCCAAGACCAGCTGAGTGGAACAGTCACTTATTCAGCCTATATGTGTGCATGCATGCATGCATGTATGTGTGCGAATTCCTGCAGTTGCAGAAGAAAGAATTCCCCACTGCCCTCAAGGGCAAACACAGCAAAGGTATAAAGTAGAAAGTTGCCTTAGGGAGAAAGAGAGAGAGAGCAGTAGAGATAGGGCAAAAACTGTGAAGGAGAAAGAAAATGGAAGATGAACTTGAAGGATGGGGTACAGATGGTGGCAAATGGCTTAGAAAAACAAAACAAATAGAGGGAGAAGTTAATGAAATGGAACACCAAAGAAAGGGAAGAAAATATGCAAAGCACAGGGAATGAAACTTAGTTATGTTATGAGATGAGTTTTGTTTCAGTACCCATAATTTACAGCGACCTATTTTACATTAGAAAATAGCCAAATGTAATATGAAAATAATATATTTATTATATAAGTCAGATTGAATACATTCTTTGGTGTCAACACTAAGTGATGTTTTATTAACAAGTTTCGGGAGGAGCGCGCGCAGATAATTAACACGGCCAGTTCATCATCAGTAATTACACCATCGATCCAATCAGCACAAGAGAGAACCTCTATAAATAATCAAAGCAGCCTTACCTCCATTATCTCCTGTCTTTAGCATCCCTCCACCACCCCGACTCCTCACCTTCAGCCCGTTCCTACCCCAGCACGGGGAGGAACACTCGGGGGGAGCATTCTGGGTCCGGGCTTAATCCCGAGCTCGGACCCCTCTCCCCGGACAGGGGGAGTACCCCGGGCTCGAGAGTAATTACCGAGCTCGGAGCCCTCTCCCCGGACAGCACGACAAATACGCATAACCTTTACAAGTTATTTGTTCATTATAAGTAAGTGTGAACTCGTGAATGGACAAGGGCACATAATATTTATTAGTAGCACATGGCATTGTTTTTCTTTTCCTGCTATCAGACCCCATTTTTTGGGTCACTTTGGAAGTTTTATGATATTGCTTTTAATCCTGTACAGTACCATTCAAAAGTTTGGGGTCAGAAAGATTTTTTAATGTTTTTTTAAAAAAGTCTCTGATTTTCATCTCAAGAAACTATTATTATTATCAATGGTGACAACAGTTGTGCTGCTAAATATTTTTGTAAAAACCATTATACCTTTTTTTTCAGGATTCTTTAATGAATAGAAAGCATTTGAAATAAAAAATCATTTGTAACCATATAAAATCTTTTGCAACCTTATTAATGTCTTCACTGTCACTTTTGATCAATTGATTGTGTCTTCGCTAAATAAAATAATTCATTTCTTAAAAAAAAAGAAAAATCTTTCTGACCCCAATCTTCTGAACTGTAGTTTAAATATTAGCAATGCTTTTTTGGTGTCACAGTAAACAAACATCATAATATTGTATGTCACAGATACATTAAACTCAGTTTCATTAGCCCTCATGTACTCTCACTGGCTCTAAATGTGGATGATTAGCTGGAATTATCTTTGCAGGATGGTTTTGTATAATTAGTCTGTGATCATATGAAAGTGTGATGAAGGTCGAGCGAGTGTTATTGTGGCTCATGTCACTAGCGCAGCCATTGTAACGAATGCTAATCATTCTAGAATGGCCTTCATTTATACAGCTCAGTGTGCAGAATCATGGCCGCGTCCGTTAGGCAGCCAATCAGATGGATGTGTAAGATGAAAACATCCATCTTAATCACTACCGGTGCATGACCTGGAACACCGTTATTTAAAAAAAAAAAAAACATGTATATTTCCCAGAGGTCTTAACAGGAAAGAGAGCTATTTATCTGTTTATATTCTTTTTTTTTTATCAGATGGATGTGTAAGATGAAAACATCCATCTTAATCACTACCGGTGCATGACCTGGAACACCGTTATTTAAAAAAAAACAAAACATGTATATTTCCCAGAGGTCTTAACAGGAAAGAGAGCTATTTATCTGTTTATATTCTTTTTTTTTAAAATTCTGCTGGAGAATGGTTTAAAATTAGTAGTGCTATAAAATGTTGTGCATTCATACATGGTAGGACTCCAGAAGGATGCATACAATTCAGTCACATTTTGAGATTTGCTTTTCTATGCCACTTCTCTGTGAAATGCATATTTAAATGAGTTTCCCTATCTCTCTCTCTTTCCCATGCTCTATTTCTTTCTCTTTCAGTTACGTTCAGGTGAATCTTACTCTGTTTACCACACCAGCCCCACCTTGCCGTGTCTCTCCAGGCCAGTGGTTCTGTGGTCTCAGCAGGATGTGTGCAGATGGTTGAAGAAGCACTGTCCACACAACTACTTGACCTATGTTGAAGCCTTCTCCCACCACGCCATTACAGGTGTGTTATCCAATGTAAAACAAAAGAACTATTGTAGTTATTGTATATAATTAAATATCCAAATATGATTTTAATGTGTTAGCTATTATTATTCATATGGAATTGTATTCGGTGTAAAATCTCACATCACAGTGACCCTGCACAAAATCACCTTTTAAAAGGTACTGCTTGCGCAGCAGTTAGACCAATCCCTTGACACCAACACATCTACTATATCTCATATGGTATGACAGAAGCATTACCATTTTAGCTGAAGGTCAGCCAACCAGTGCTCATCTACTTTTCCAAAAATACGTCTCTTGTCAAAGAGCTGCTACCTTTTCATTCTCAACCCCTGAAATTACAGTGCTTTACTCTTTCATGCTCCATTTTCAATATTCTAGAAAAATTTTAATGTTTTAGTATTGGCACAGAACCCTCAAAAGTATGAGATTAGAAATCTGCCATCAATGCCCATGGACACTTAGTTTTGTTTTTGAGCCATTCATCTGAGACATGTATGATTTTCCTTCATGATACAGGAACATGTACAGTCCCAAAGCTTTCATTAGCTACTTGCCTGAGCTGTGAAAAACAAGAAAAATGTGTCAATTTCAAGCTTTTAAGTGCCTACAAAAAGAATCGGGCACTGGAAAATATATCTACTGCCATATATAATGTCATATAATAATATTAGAGATCTACAGCACAATTAATATTTTTATTCAGCAAGGTGCGTTAATTTAATAAAAAGTGGCAGTAAAGACTTGCATTGTGACAAAAAAATTCTAATTTAAATAAATTCTGTTCTTTTCAACTTTCTGTTCATCAGATGATCCTGAAAAAAGTTGAACAGTTTCCACAAAAATATTAAACAGCAAAAACTTTGATAATAATGTTTGATGAAATTATAATAATGTTTAATGAATTTATAATAATGAAATATTTCTTGAGCACCAAATCTTAGAATGATTTCTGAAGGATCATGTGACATGGCTGCTAATAATTTAGCTTTGCCATCACAGGAATACATTTTCAAAATAAATTAAAATAGAAATTTTTTTACATTTTAATAATATTTCACAATATTATAATTTTGCTGTATTTTTGATCAAATTAATGCAACCTTAGTGAGCATAAGAAACTTTCAAAAACATTTAATTTTACTGACACAATCTTTTGAAATAAATGAGTATTTTCTATTGGCCATCAATGGGGAAATCTGCAGCCAGTTGGATTTTTTGAAGCTAGGACTCGCTGGCCATACTGATATCCTTCATTATTATTTTACCATGTTTTTCTAGGGTTTGTAGAATTATAGTGTGAATATGCGACTCATGTCTGAGCATGTCACGGGGTCCCGCTCACACACTGGCGCTTAGACAGCTGCTTCTCCCACTCACTGCTTGAGCACACACTCACTAGGGTCCCGTGTGACTTTACGTCCCTCACAAATCCTCTCTTCTCTCTCAGTGGACACAAAGCATCAAGATCACAGACACCCTGGATGAGATCCATAGAAAAGGAAATCGAGAGAAAAAGAATATAGGGAGTTCAAAAATATGAGGACAAAAGACAAATGCAGTGTTTTTTCTGCCAGGCTGTGGACTTAAGTGTTTAGAGTCACAGCACGAGAGGCTCAGTTGGAAACAAAGTGGGAAATGAACCCGGGGCGGCCTATGCCCTCAGGCAGCAGTTCCACACATCATGTTACCATAGTCACATATGCAAAAATCACTGGGAACACGGAGATAATAACCCAATGCTGTAACTTGTTTATAGCTGCCAGCAAAACTGTGCATACATAATGTAGAGGCTGCAGAGCTTGTGTGTTTCCAAAGAGCTCATGTCTACTGAAATTGTCTCTCTCTCTCTGTCACTTTGTCTTTGTCAGGTCGTGCTCTCTTGAGATTGAATGGCGAGAAGTTAGAGCGGATGGGTTTGGTTCAGGAGACTCTGAGACAAGAGCTTCTCCAGCAGGTTCTACAACTACAAGTACAAGAGGAAGGGCGCAACTTACAGCTGCTAAGCAGAGGTGTGTGTGAGAATAAAGAGCAAAAATGAGGAAGAAATATTCTGCAGCAGGTGACAGGACCTAAAAGCAATAAAGTTTGCATAATGGAAAATGAACGTTATGGCGGTTTGGTGTATTTGTGCCTATTTATGTCTGCCTAGCAGCTTTATTTTTTGCTTTAGTGCAGGGGTTTTTACATTTTTTGTTGGCAGGGATGCCCAAATATGTTGATCCTCTTGCAAGGGACACCCTTTCCAACAACGTAAACCAAAAGAAGTGATTAAAATAATATTTAGGAAACATTTACATTGTGTTTAGTTGACTACATCTTTTTTTCTATCCACTATTGCGTTATGTCCGATGAATAAACCTTAAGGAAAATATAAAACTAGGGCAGTCATTAGAACAATATAATCATTGTGCTCACAGTATGAAATTTATGTATTTATGAACATTTATGACTGTAATTTGATGAACAGTTAGTTGCGACAAATACAAATTCTAAGAAATGGGTTGCTTGTTGATAGTCCCAAGTTTGGGGTCGGTAAGATTTTGAACATGTTTTTGAAAGAAATCTCTTATACTTGCCAAGTCTGCATTTATTTGATCAAAAATACAGCAAAAACAGTAATATTGTGCAATATTATTGCAATTTAAAACCACTATTTTCTGTTTTAATATATATTTAAAAAATATGATTTTACTCCTGTAAGGACAAAACAGAAATCATCCCAAGATGCTGATTTTGTGCTCAAGAAACATTTCTTATTATTATCAATGTTGAAACAATTGTGCTGCTTAATATTTTTCAAGATTCTTTGATGAAAAGAAAGTTAAAAACAAAAGTATAATCCTTAAAGTATACATTAAAAAAAATCTTATTGACCCCAGACTTTTGAACCATGGTGTATATTAAAAACCCAAACCCAGAGAGAAAACTGATTCCTCAATTTTGATGTCCACCATATAGTACTGATATGTGTGTAGGTTGCCATTGGAGAGCTACTCTGAGACATTTTAGATTCATTCACTCATTCATGCTTTTTCTCTCCATCCCTCACTTTCCCTTTCTTTTCCAGGGCTATCCGGAAACCTGTCATAGCTTCAACCATGCGTAGGGCAGTTCTACCAGACTAGCTGCATTCTGAAGGGACATCAGTGTGTTTGGTCAGGCTGAGGCCAGACACATTTGACTGGAGCTGTCATGGACTGGGACACGGGGACAGGTTTCAGTTATACAGCTCAACCCCCACATTCTCGCTACACGTATAGAAAACTCATATCAAATGAGATCTACACAAGGAGCTTTCATGTGCACCCATGATTTATCAACCCCAAATCTGCTTCGAAATGCAAACAAAATGCAGAGGAATCTTGAATCTTTATATCTGATAAAGGCGAACTTAGCTGGCTGTACCAAAGCTTCCTGGATTTTGTAAAAACTCAGTTCCACTTTAAAGTCTACAAGACCTTCTACAATGATGTCTGGTAATACTGTCAGAAATTGCTGTATTAAAAGCTATATTATGAGCTTTCACCCACAGAAGCAAGCTTGCTAGCTATTTTCTGCTGGAATGTGACTTTGCCAGACGTGCCCTCAAACGTGCCGGTCAAGATTGTGGTTCTACGTAAGCAAATTGTGTCCAGTTCCTACAGGTGTTTCAGGACTCATTTCACGTTAGATATGAACCTAAATGAATTAAACCTGCATTTGTACTGTGAGTCCAACTGGACGGCCTGTTTTAGTTTTGTGACAGCTATAGTTGTTTTTTAACTTAAGATGTTTTTGTTTCTTGGAACAAAAAGATCAAATGTGTCCAAACTAGTTCCCCATGTGACAATGACGACAGCATTTATGCTGAAATGATAAATACCTTTGGCCACAAAAAGCTGTGTTTATGTTGTGTAAATTACAAAGCTCTGTAAGTGTCTGAGAATTGCAGATGAAAATTAAAAAACAGATGACATGCTGCATTGGAGCCTAAAAAAGTCTCAAGTGTGGACTTGCCCAAAAGACCATTCAAAAAACCCATGTCAAAACATCAGGATGATATGGTGTGAGAACCTGAAAGTGGTTTGGGACACGCAAAACTGCATAAAACTGTATTCGTGCGTTATTTTGTGGAGAGTTTGATGTATTATTTCAAGTAATGAAAGGAGTCTGATTCCTTAATTTGGATTAAGTGTTGTGACACCATGACTCAGCTTGTGATATATTAGATTTGATTATAAATTTCCTGTCAAAGTTAGGCAGAAACATTCTTCTAATACTGTAGGAAGTGCACTGGTATCTTACAGGCAACAGTTTTCACTGAAAAAAAAGAGTGGGCCGAAACTACATTTCCCATAATTCGTATCGTGAGGTATTAACAGCTGAGAGTGTAGCTTCACAGCGAGTCGTATATGAGCGGAGAGTTACGTGTAAGATGGAGTTCAGGAGGAAAAACTCAAGCCGATCGAACAGGTATCACAATACAGCTGTCTGCGGTCCATGTTCCATGTTCCAAAACATCTTTTGTTGATCCTGGATCAACATTACTGTCCAAAAATACAGACTTAACCCAAACTTACACATAATTTATTCCTAAAATCAGAGTGAAATGACAGCTGATTAACAAGGGTGTAGAAGCACCTAATCCTGATTGTAAGCCTAAAACTGACATTTCCTGAAAGTTATCTCTCAATTCTGATTGGTTGATTGGAATGATGTTCCAGGATCAACAAGGATGTTGATCCAGGAACATCTTGTACTTGGTGAAATCACGCTCACCCTGCGGTCCACCCATTCTACAAACATAGGCTATAGCCTAGATCAGGGGTAGGCAAGTTAAAAAAAATTTCAGGGTTTGAGCTGAACTCTGCAGGACTGCGGCTTTCTAGGACCGAACTTGCCTACCCCTGGCCTGGTTTTGACGCAGGTGCACCTCTGACGTTACTATCTGTTGACCCACATCGAGCCAATTAATAATCATTTTTGGCATGTTATGGAATGGTTATTCATACTGTGGAATGTAACGTTTCATCTTTCTGATGATGAAAAAAATTCATAATAGGAAAGTAAATCATAGTTAACCTCCTTCCTTCTTCCCTCCTACCCCAGTTTCAGCAGGTGACTACCGCGCGCTAATGATAATATTATTATAAAGAACTATAGACTGAGGTCTCCCTCCTGACGCTACATGTGTTTCCATTAGTGCACCATGGAGAGATCACATCCTAACTGATCACTAACCGAGATTTGACCTTTGAGATGTCTATTTAATAGACTTGTGCATCAAAATATATTGTGGTGTATGTAATAATTCTTTACAATAGGTCTACCAGGTCCTATGACCGATATTTTAATTGACCATACACATTCTTTTTATAAAATATACATGAATATATAGTTATATTTTGCTTTTATAGAGTTTCATAGTGTAGGTGTCTGGCAGGTGGCCAGCTCAGAGATTTTTTCTTTCTCTTTCTTAATCTCTCTCTCAAAATGAAAGCAAGTCACAAATAATATCTCTTTAGTTTCTCCTTGACCTAAACAAAAATTGTTTTTTAATAGCCAAAAGCGACTGTAAATTATGACTTGTTGCTTGCATTTAGTAGTATTAGGGAGAGTACGCTCTTTTTCTAGAGCATTTGAATCAAAAATTTGGATATGCCCCTGTGTGCAAGGTGATATATTTTGGGTAATTTTTCAGACAGAAATATGAATACTTGAAAAAAAAATGTATTATCTCCACCAACTAGATGTGGATCCAACCCCGCCCCCCTGGATCGTTTTTCTGCAGTGAGGGGCTACTGGGAATATCAGGCTGCTGGGCACTCCGTACAGATGGAGGGTAAGTTATTAAATGGACTTTTTAGTATTTAAAAGGTTAATTAAATGCCGTTTTGTCCACTCATTTGAGTGACATATGCAATTAAAGAGTAGATCATCAACATGGTTTAGAAAGCTGCACGAGTAATACATTTAGCTCAGGTCCATTAAATAATATTAACAGATACAACATTTGATTTTAATAATGTATTAAAAATGATTGAAATTTAAATGAACCAAGATTACTAAAAACCAAAACTAAGATCAAAATAATTCTCTTTTTTGGTCCAATGGAAGTGGTGAAGACTCTTTGGACAGACTCCTCCCTGCAGTCAGCACCTATCAGTATCAGACTTTAGATAACTTGAAATATCAATAAAAGACTAATAAAAGAAAAAATAATTATTATTTTATACTGTATGGTTACTCATCCGTTCAGGATTCGGATTAAACTGGTTGTTGTTAGTTGTTAACTGTTGTTAATTCACTAACCGGCTCAGAGACATTCGTTCTCGAATCAGACTACACTGGTCTTGCTGTATGTTTTATTTCACTTTCGTGTTCCTCAGACAAAAAACAACAAGATAAGGATTTAATACAACATGAGTAAATTACAGAATTTTCACATTTGGACGAACTATGCCTTTTTATTTTATTTTAATTTTATGTAGCCTCTGACATGTTTTCACAAATACTCACATATTAATAACAGCCTCAGATGCCATGGTGTATGTGATCAGAATAAAATAGTATCCCTTGCGTTGCTGTTAAAGCACATATGGTGATAGGGCAGGATTGTGATCTTTCTGGTGTCTGTGTCGCCCCCACCAGTGATCAAACATGCAACCTTTATGTTACCCATCTGCAGGTCCTGTCTCCAGAGGAACAAACTCTGGCTGCCAGCAATGACTATAACTTTGACCATCCAGGAGCTTTTGACTTTGAGCTGCTTGTGACCACACTGCGGAAACTTAAACAGGGGAAAAGTGTAAAGATGCCAGTCTATGACTTCACTACACATGGACGCCAGAAAGACTGGGTGAGTGTGTGTGGCAGATGTTTCACATACTTTCCAGAAGTATATAAAAAATATTTGCACCAGATATAGTCATAATTTATAATAGTGGCATGGAAAAGATTTCAGTTTGTTTGATGGTCTTTGGTTTTTCATTTCATACTCTTCCAGAAAAATGTCTATGGTGCTAGCGTCATTATCTTTGAAGGCATCTTGTCCTTTGCAGACAAAGAGCTCTTGCAGGTATGATGAAATGTTGCGGTTTCTGAATGTTTCGTAAATACTGATAAAAATTCAAAGCAAAGTAAGTGATAAAAATGTTTTGGTGATGAAGTAAGGGAGATGTTGAGGGACCATTTATCACAAATTCATCTTAAAGGGATCACATGAAATCAAAATTTGACTTTTGTGGCTTTTAGTCCATATTGAATAGAACAGGAATAGGATCTATATGCTAATGTGCTCCTAAAAGTTGACAAAATTAACATTTTGCAGGTAAATGCATTTAAAATGTACACATTTTCTATTTTGTTTATATTGATTACTAAAGTAATTGCAAATATTGATTACTTACATTTTGATCTTGGTCTGAGTGTAAAAATATCTGTCACTATATCTTCAACTGAAAGCATAATATTTCTTCAGTCTTAAACTTTCTGTTGGTAAGTCATCTCTCTCTCTCTCTTTCTTTTTTTTTTTTGCAGCTGATGGACATTAAGATTTTTGTAGATACAGATTCAGATATCCGGCTGATAAGGCGGCTGAGGAGGGACATCACAGAGAAGAGGACGAGACATTGAGGGTGTCATTAAATAATACAATAAATTTGTAAAACCAGCCTTTGAGCAGTATATCGAAACCCACCGTGAGACTTGCAGACATTGTAGTTCCACGTGGTGAGTTCAGCATATATGCATTTCTGCAGTGAATAATTGCAGTTAGCAGATGTTACATTTATTAATTTCTCTCCTTCACACACAGGTGGAGGCAACATGGTGGCCATTGACCTGATTGTTCAGCATGTTCACAGCCAGCTAGAAGAGGTGAGTGAAAAAGGGAATTACGGTAGTGTCCTGTGAACTAATCTTGTCCATTCTTCCAGCCCAGGAGAAGTTATGCACCTATTTTTGTGGTCACATTGGTAGTCCACCCTAGACAAGATATTTAAAAAAAAAATTTAAAATAAAAACTTTTTAACAGCTTAGTTCATTATGTAAACCTGAAATGTTTTAGTGTACTTGTGTAGGTTTCCCCTGTTTCATTTTTAAAATCTAAGGGGCATGTTGCAGCAGGGTTGCCAGATCTCCAAAGCAAAACTAACACAGTGACTAATTAAAAATAGCCCAATAGCCCTATCCCAAAATTTAAAACTCAAATATGCCATTCCCTTACCTAAAATACATATTTTACAGTCATTGTTACACAATTTCAACTTAAAAATCACTGGGTAGTAGTAATCATAAACACAGACTGTATTTATAAAGGAGCTCACAGTGCCCTGCTTGACAAAACTCATTTAGCACTTAATCATTGGTAGAATATACAATGGGTAAAATAATACAATATAAGCATTCCAGTCAAGTACCATTTCTGCAGTGCTGAACAGTTTCGTTGACGAATAATTTTGGTCAACCACATTTTTTCACAGACGAAAACGAGACCATAACGAAAGAAAAACTTGTTTTGAATGACAAAACTATGACGAAAATCTATTGTCATTTTCGTCAACAACTAAAAACGAGACGAAAATGTTAGGGTGGGACGAAGAGATCCAGTCAGAATGAATCTCCTGCGTGGTTGGGAGGTTAGCTGTGCACATTTGAACAGTAACAGCCTATTGATCTGACCGGCGGGACATAAGCTAGCATACGCTTGCTGCACGTCCCAAAAAACATTCAAAAATGTCAATATCTGGG